TCCTGGCCGTACTACTAGGAGCAAGAAGCTATTAGATTCCTTTTGCTCTTAGGTTAGACTTGTTGCGAAGTGACGACGTGGTGTTCGGATCTTGCATGTGGTCTCATGCGCCATGTGGAGGGTTCTTGGTGTCCAGTTGTGGGAGAAACATGCACTTAACCACGGGGTGGGTCAGCTTAACCACGACCGGTGTTCCCTAACCACGCTGGCTGCCCCTAACCCCGAGCCTCAGCCTCTAACCACGAGATCTGCGGACCTTAATCCTGAGAAGGGGTCAGGGTCCGCAGGTTTCATTTTGGTTGGTGGGAGCCAGCCCTGACCAAAAAAACGTACAATTTAAACAAATTTAGCTGGAGCCAGCACTGTAAATTTGAGTTTTTGAGATTTTGGTCGGTGGGAGCGAAGGGGTCAGGGTCCGCAGGTTTCATACGTATATATATATATATATATTTTTTTTTTTTCCGCAGGCAGTGTGGTCACACCAGGGGTTCTTACGGTAGGGGAAAGGCAGGTGTGCTTAGATAGGTGTGCGTCACGGCCGTGTCCGGCTAACCCGCTGCTATTTACAATACATTCATGCCTCTCGGAAGCCTCGAAGTGCATTTCGACTGTGCAGGTTCACAAGGTCTGGGTGGCCGTGGCGGGTGCTTCTAGCGACTGCGCTCTCGTTGTGGCGCCGTGCGCATTTTCGCACATGGTGGTCACTTTTCATGGCAGGCGCAAGGGAAACCTCCTTTTCGTGACAGGTGCAAGGGATTGGAGCTGTTTTACTACTTCGAAATGCAATTTTCGTGGCAGGCGCAGCACTTTGGACATGGAGGAGCTCAGATTTCGTGACAGGTGCAGTGAATCGTGACTTTTGGACATGTGACTCGTTTGCAGATGTCGTGGCAGGCACAGCACTCTGTGACGCTCGAAGTGCCGATTTCGTGGCAGGTGCAGCACTTGGTGAACCTCGAAGTGCAGATTTTGGCAGAGGCGCAGGACTCGCTCACACTCCCTCTCATTCTGACCCTCTAGTGCCAGCACCAGCCACTGGCCCTGCAGTTGCAACTGCAGCAGGATCTTCAGCAGATGGCACTGCAGTTGACCAGTTACATGAGACTGAAGTGAAGCTCATGTCCGTGAAGTGCTATCGAAACCATCGTGGCATGGTGGGCGCTGATCCTTTACCTGAAGCAGACCCAAGTCCAGAGCAGGTCAGAGCCATGGCTGCAAAGGTCATCAGAAGGGGTGGACCTCCTTACGCTGATTTTACTTGAAGTAGATGAAGGCTCGAAACGTCAATTTGCAACCTGATGGGAGCTGGAAGACAACGGAGATCCCTGGACCGCCCAACTTTGAAGCTTGGCAGTTGTGTTGGAGGGTGTATAGGTCGGTGTTGCTGATGATCAGGCACCCAGGTGCATCGTCTCCGTTGCAGTTCTTAAGGAGTACGTGACAAAGATTTCAGACTTGAATGCCGAGTTCCCTGAAGCTTGGCATTTGCTTCTTCAGGCTGAGGATCGGTGCAGAGGTGAACAGCTGGAACGCTTTCGTCGTGAGCTTGCCCGAGCAAAGCTGGAAGGAAGACTCCCTATCAACCTTCACTTCGATGATGGCACACCTTGGGTAGGAGTCTTCTGCTATGCTGCCCGCAATCAGGAGTACTGGGATAGAGCTGTTGTCCGGCCCGGGGAGGTTCAGGTAAGCGAACGACTCGAAAGGAAACTGAAGATGTACACTACTCGGATGCAGCGTCGGCCAAAGCAGGAGTGACAAGTTTGCCAGGTGAAGGACAGTCCAAGTCGGCTCGCAAGCGACAGCGGGACAAGATGAAGATTCAGGCTTTGGACGAGATGCAAAGGCCTGGAAGCATCAAGATGCCCCGAATGCAAATCGTGACAAAGGGGGTGGCAAAGAACAAGTTTCACTTGTTTGTAAAGCTTGCACAGAGGCTTAGCTCTTTGCAAGAGGAGGAGTGTCGAAATGTATAGGCCATATATACCCCGCGTGTGCAGTTCTGATTCAGGACTTCATGTATGTTTTGACTCAAGGAGAAAAAGGACACTCCGCAGCTGTGTTTTGATAAGCTCGTGCTCGTTGACCTTTTCAAAGCACCGCAAAAGGGAGCCTCCACAACGTACATTTTTACCTGAAAATTGGCCTTAAGCAACACCAAACTGTTAACATATTGTGTGCGCCAGGCATCAAAAGGGAGCCGTGGAGAAATGCATTGTGCGTCGGAGATGGGTTTACGACCGCAGCCGACAGCTGAGAGAGCTTGAAGCTGCTACATTCGCACAAAGGCGGTTTCTGCTACCCTGCGGTGCCTAGTGTCCTGAACTCTTTGGTTGTTAAAGGCAGAAGGCAGATTCTTGTATGACAAAAATATTTTCCGTTTTCTTGCTTTGCAAGTCCTTCTCGTTTCATCGCTCCCCCAACCCCATCATATTAATTCGCTGCAGCAGGTGTCAGAAAGCCAACAAGACAAACATGAACTACACCACAGAAACCATGAAGGTATCTCATTGTTTTCATAAACGTTCCATTTTCCATCAAAAGACCTTACAATGAGTCCGTTCTGATTTCAGGATCCGTTGTATTCTTTTGACGACATCCTCCTCAACCTCAACATGATCATCTTAAAACACACATGGAGCTGTTGCCCTGCAGACAACCCCAAACAGTGTAACGCGGACAGCATATGTCGTGAACATATGACCAACTGCGAATACAGCAGAGTGTGCACCCACACTTGTTGCCTCTCGAGCGTAATACTCGGTCCATTCACTCATTTCAAGAGCAATAGTCTTTGTGCAAATCTATGCGGTGCAACCAACAAAATGTTTTTAGAGAAGAAAACGGGAAAGTCCTTGGAGGAACATTCATATTATGAGTAAAGATGCAGAAAATATATATAGAGATGACGGAACGCGATGGTACTTCGCCTTAAGCTGGTCTTGGCATTGGTAGAACTTGCAGATTCACATCTCTAGTTTGCATTTGCAAGTTAGATTTTGTGTGCGGAATTGCATGTTCCTGTTTGTTGCAGATTCCGACACACGGTGGTGTAAGACACATTGCCCGAGCGGGCTGGATTGTTTGCGCTGCGAAAGTACAATCTTTTTTCTGGCTTTCCTTTGCTTACCGGAACTAGTTTGCAAAACATCTATAGAGAAAGTGCAGAAATGCATAGGTTGAGTAGAGATTCCCAGACATAGTATTCAACTTAATAATAATAATGATCAAAATCTTGAGAGAAGTGACGCAATACAGTTTATTCAGAAGCAGAAAGACAAGTTGGGATTTTCAGAGGAAAACGCAGAGCAACATTTTTACGAGAGGAAAGCAAAGTACAACATATTGCCCCATTACATAGTTTCGCCATTTTGACTGTGTTCGCTTTGTGATAGAAAGTCCTGAGGGCAAATTCTAATTTGTTCAAATTCTAATTAAATACTAATTTAAAAGGTCCTAGTAGCGTCCTTGTTGCTAGTAGTAAGGCACTTGTTACTAGTAGCGATGCACTTGTTTTTAGTAGCTACTTCGTTGGGCGTAAGCGTGTTAGCTGTGTCTATTTTTTGACCACGCACCAGTCCGATTCAGTCGTAAATGGGCTGCGGCGCTACGCTGGAGCTGTGCGTTGACGAACCATGTGCCCTCGTGTATTTCCCGTTGAATCGAAAGGATTGGAATGTAGTGAATAGGAACCATAGCGCGACAAATTTTGTTTGGGATACTCTACCTGTATCCATAGGCCTTGCAGTGTCAGCAGAACTACACTGTGAATCTACCCCGCAGCTCGTCAACAAAGAAGGAGTTGAAGAGTGCAAAAACACGCACACTGCATGCATATGTCAGCCAGGAGAAGAAACAGGATAGGATACTAGTAAATGCAGATGCAGACAGTGAATCAACAGCATCGCACAAGGCAGAACCACGAAGAGTAGGATGGGGCAGAACAGGATGCAACATCGCAGGGCATAGTGGAAAGTAATATTTCGCTTCTAGGGGCTCCTGGCATCGCTATTAGGAGCAAGGACGCTACTAGGGGCTCCTGGCCTTCTACTAGGAGCAAGGACGCTACTAGTAGCAAGGACGCTTCTAGGTTGGAGGCCATCGCTTGGAGTCAAGAGAGTTCAAATAAGAGGAGAGTGCCAAGGTTCAAGATCAGACAATGCAAAATTGAGGGAAGAGATGTGTGGCTTAATGAATGCGATTTGCATTGCGCGCAGACTCTAACGAAAGGAATCCAGTAAAGAACATAGTGCACATGTTAGCTATAGAGTTTGTTGTTTGCTTTCTATAACAACTTTAGTGAGATGGACTCCAACCTAATAGCTTCTTGCTACTGGTAGCGATGCCCTTTGTTCCTAGTAGCTTCTTGCTCCTAGTAGTAAGGCCAGGAGCCCCTAGCGGCGTCCTTGCTCCTAGTAGCAATGGCCTCCAACCTAATAGCATGTTTCTGACATGACGTCTTCAAAACTAAATGCATCGCTCCTGTTCTCTTGAAGTTTTCAACGACTCAGACCCCTCACACACACACAAAAAAAGACCGAAAACCACAATATTTTTGTGAAACCTTTGGGAAAGCATCGGTTTGTTTCTGTCCTTTATGTGTTGCTTTCTTGGCGTGTCATCAAGCCTGCAGGTTTCAACATGTTTTAACCAATCTGAAAAGCACCATTTGTGATAGAAGCGTGCAGGTTATACGACAAGTAAGTGCTAGGGTGTGAGCAACATGCTTTTTGCAAGCAAAGGATGGCCTTCCTACACGTTTTGTTGGCTTCTTTGCAATCAAGGTTTGCTGGGAAACTGCAAGATTCGATAAAGAAGCTGGGAGGAACTAAATCGAAGAGTTTGAAGCTTTCAGCTATTTGGTTGATGCAAACATGTTGCTTTCACATGCAAAGGGCTTGATTCCAGTGTTGACTTTTGTCATTCTTGGTTGCCAACCGACTTCCATGGAGGAGATGTTGCCCTAAAAAGGGACTTGTTGCAGCCGCTTTTCGCCACTATGCTGTCGGAGGACGGGCCAAACGAAAGCACAGTCTGATTGAAGCAATCTAATAGCAATCGACTCCAAGCTACTAGCGATCAAACCGCAGAAGAAAAGAGAGAAGATCATTTTACCAGACAGACACGAGCAAAGATCGTTTTTGAACGTAAGAAGTAGTTTTAGTCTTGGTGGCTGTTACTAGTAGCTTCTTGTTATTAGTAGCGATGGCCTCCACCCTAGTAGCTTGTTGTTACTAGTAGCTGGTGGCTACCGTGACTGGTGACCGTGGAGGTGCGTTACCCTCCCAGCAGTCTCAGCTTCAGTTGGAGGGCGCGCTCCGTGGATTTTAATCTTCTCAGGTCTTGGCCTCGATCTTTTGAAACGACGCAACAAACAAACGAAGCTACTAGTAACAAGTGCATCGCTAGTAGTAACAAGTGCCTTACTAGTAGGAGCAAGGACGCTACTAGGAGCAAAGGGCATCGCTACTAGGAGCAAGGACGCTAGTAGAAACAAATGCATCGCTAGTAGTAACAAGTGCCTTACTAGTAGTAACAAGAAGGCTACTAGAAACAAAGAAGCTACTAGTAACAAGTGCATCGCTACTAGCAACAAGGGCATCCCTAGTGGTAGCTTCTTGCTGCTAGTAGCAATGCACTTGTTAATAATTGAACATTACTTTTTATTTGTTTTTATTTTTGTGATCATGTGTTTAGCTTTTTCAAGTGGCCATAAGGCGGCTAAGAGGCAAGCTACGAAAGTAAGAGGAGCAAGCTACTTAGCCAACAAGTAGCTTCTTAGGTTTAATGATTTGGTTCCTTAATTTAGTTGACAAACAAGCAAAACACCATACAGAAAACAACCCAGTGCCTCTTTTGTACGCTCCAAGCGCCCAGAGTGGAACGTAATTGATCACTCCGAAAACAATGGCAAGCAACACCAACAGACATTGCCGCAGTAGGTTGGAGGCCATCGCTATTTGGTTGAAGGCCATGGCTATTAGGTTGTAGGCCATTGCTATTACTGTAGGTTGGAGGCCATTGACATTGCCATTAGGTCGGGGCCATTGCCATTAGGTTTAGGTTGTTGGAGGCCACGGCTATTAGGTTGAGGCCATCGCTATTAGGTTGGAGGGCATGGCTATTAGGTTGGAGGCATTGCTAATAGGTTGGAGGCCATTGCATTTAGGTTGGAGGCCATTGCCACTAGGTCAGGGGCCATTGCCATAAGGCTTAGGTTGGAGGCGATGGCTATTAGGTTGGAGGCCATTGCTATTAGGTTGGAGGCCATCGCTATTGGGTTGGAGGCCATTCCCTTATACTTAAGTTATTCAATGTAAGAATGCAATGCCAACAATTCAATACCTAGAGCTTGCAAGTTCACACCATGGCCACCGTTGTGTCTGCATGTGGTTTGGAAGCCTGCAATCAACTTGGTTGGTCAACCAAAATTCACTGTGTGCCCCCGGTCGGAAACCATAAAACATTGCAAGAGGTGGAGCACGCCCCTTTTTTTTTCGATGTTCTTTTGGCGGCCTGGGGTAACGCCAACGCGTTCCTCGTCGGTTTTTCCAGGCGCCCCGCTCCAGCGGACCTCATGGGACCTTTGCCCGAGCGGCCTTTCAAGTTGCTGGATAATGGCAGTGATGCTCCATGCTTAGCCGGCAAGAAGCTAGCTACTAGGAACAAGTGCATCGCTACTAGGAACAAGTGCCTTACTAGTAGGAGCAAGGACGCTACTAGGAACAAGTGCATCGCTTACCCTGTACCGTTGGCATTTTCGAGGCCATCGCTATCGTGAAACAGAGTGAAACTCAAGAGGAAACACGGCACTGCTTCAAATTCTGGACATGAATGTTTTCATGCTTTCGTTTGTCTTGAATGTGACAATCTTACAGTGCTGTCAAGTTACTTGTGACACCAAGGCTCCTGCTGATCAACCGCCGCACTTTCAGGCATATCCGCTGAGACCAGAGCAGCAAAGGCCCCCAGTTTTTTATTTCCGTATTTGCCGAAAACCTTCAAGTCGTCGCTGGAGCTAGGTTGTACTAGGTTGGAGGCCATCGCTAGTAGGTTGAAAGCCATCGTTAGTAGGTTGGAGGCCATCACTATTGGGTTGGAGGCCATCGCTACTAGGTTGGAGGCCATCGCTTGCAGCAATGGAGACGGCAGGTCATTGCAATGGATGCTGTCCCGAGAAAACCTTCAAGATGTTGATGAAGGTCATTTGGTTGAGTCTCTTGCTGCAATCATGGGAAGGAAAGAGGTGTAGAGAGGAAAGGACAAGTAGAAGACTAAGAAAAACACTTAGCAACATCCCCCAAAGATTGATGACCGCCAAGAGGTTCTTGTGGTAGGTGTAAAGGACTGGTTCGCTTGAGGGTTTGTGTCTGCGGGCGCGGCATTGTCTGCGCCAGGCTCACGCCAAGTGTAACTTGCTTTGCAGATGCGCTTACCGTGCCCGCTGTTCTGCCTTGGCTTGTGGCTCTTGATGGCTTTTGGTGGCTATCGGCCTTTTGTGTTTTCGTTTTTGTTTTTTGGTTGGCTTTAATCTAATTAATTCTGATTTATGTATGCTTATTTAGTCTAGTTCGAATTTATGTCTAATCAATTCTGATTGAATTCTAATTTCTTTGATTCTCATTTGTTGGCCTTTGCTCCCTGTTGAAGACCCAGGTGGAGGCGTTTTTGGACTTCATGGGAGAGGAGTTTCATTGAGGTGTTTTGCTGCAAATCTTGTGGGCCAATGTTTTGATCTACAGCTAAGGTGTCCTTGCTCCTAGTAAGGCCAGGAGCCCCTAGTGACCTAGTAGGGTCCTTGTTCCGTTCGTAGCGATGCCCTTTGCTCCTAGTAGCGTCCTCTTGCTCCTAGTAGCGATGCCGGCACCTGAAGGGGACTGAAGAAGATCAACTTGTCCCTGGAGCCCTGGTGCAAATTCACTCCGATGCACAAGGGCCTTTCTTTTTCCAGGAGAATCGTCATTGACTTCTTCCTACTAGCTTCTTGTTACTACTAGTAAGGCACCTGTTACTATACTAGCGTGGCACTTGTTACTAGTAGCTTCTTTCGCATTTGACTTTTCATTATACATTCGCAATAGCTGAAGGCCATCGCTAGTAGGTTGGAGGTCATTGCTATTAGGTTGGAGGCCACCGGTAAGAGATTGCACCCTTTAATTCTTTTTCCTAAGCAAAACGCATCTTTAGGTTTTTGGATGTGTTGCATTCAAAGGGCGGAAGGACATACGGCCAGTTGATGTTTTGCATCATTGACCTTTTCAAGTCATATCCAAAGTCATGCCCAGAGCACAGAGTAGAGACAGTAGCGGTCCTACCAGGATTTTGAGAATGAGTTCAAGATTTTTAGCAGCGTCAGGACCATTCAGTGGAAGCTGCCTCACTGCAGAGCCTTCATGGTGAGGTTTTGCCTATTGTAGCAGGTCCCGACCATGTCCATGTGAAGTTTGGCCGGGAAACCAAAGTTCACAGAGCAAACAGCAAGCGCACCTTCCACTGCAAGATTGTACGACATCAGACCACGCTATCACATATACCAAGTACAACTGTACCACAAAGAATGTTTCTACGATTGGGTTTCAGCGACAGTGCCTGACCGTACGACACTTAGGTCGATCCTATAGCTGTGTGAAGTGTCCCAAGCAGGCCCGAGGGTCAAGTGGCTGAGAGAAGGAAAAACACATTCAGCTGGAGAAGGAAGGTACTAGTAACAAGAAGCTACTAGGGGCTCCAGGCATCGCTACTAGGAGCAAGAACGCTACTAGGGGTTCCAGGCATCGCTACTAGGAGCAAGAACGCTACTAGGGGCTCCTGGCATCG